TGATCCCTTTGAGTGGAAAAAAGTATGATGGCTTATATCTACGGGACAAACTGCGTAGCTTCAACTCAATCTTCGTAGATACTAACTTATTTTTTTTTGCAATAGTTGCATGAAGAAACTTACTGCTTTTTATAACTTCTAAGGAGCACATCACATAGGTACTTCAGACGACGAAATTGGATTAAGCTCAAAAGTATCGGTAGGCCACGACGTCATATGCAAACGCTTTGAAACTTTTGTTTTCCGAATAGTGAATTCTTCTTTTTGGTTATAGCACTCTGCTCGAAACCTAAATAAGAACTAGGTGACGAAAAGAAATTATTGTGTTCACAGTAGCAGTCGCTCGCAGTTTAGGCACGTTTTGGTCTTGTTTTGAAACTACAGAATTTACATTGCTTACCCCTTTGATGCAAAGGACAAAGCAAAAACCAATATTACTCTCGTGTAGTGCTCTCACATATTGCATTGCACGCATTGTTCTTTTCTCACTTTTTAAATAAAATCTAACTTAACCTCTTTTTATGCCAAATTTGTTTACTTTGCAAGTAGGCTTATAAATGGGCATTATTTCAACCGCAGACAGTGGTGACTGAGTTTGTTGCGGCGCTTCTTCTCAGCACTTCCCAAATGTTGGTATGGAAGCGCTGCTTGGGCAAAAAGATTATGAGACAGAAGGCTCCATAAGAGCAAAACTTTAAAGATTTTTTAAATTTTTTTTTTCAATACTTTACGATGTAAACACTATTTTTAATAGTCCATGGAAATAAAGGAATTTTGACTTTGAAGCAGCGCAAGAAATTCAGTCACTAAATTGTCATGCCCGTATTCACAAACGATGTTTGCTTGAGTGAAGCAGCAAATCGAACGCACAGCGTTAAATAGAGCTCTGTGATTGGTTCGTGTGTCACTCTGTGCGTCCACGCGCACTGTGAGACGACCTCATAGTAATGTTTGTGAATACGGGCGTCAGCCTCCTTTTCAGTGGTTCACAAAGTCGTTTCGATGTAGATAGCCTTTGTGTTAGATTTGATTTTGAAATAGGTTCTCTGTGGTGTCAGGTTACGCTGGCCGCAGCAGGGCTGTAAGCCTTGACCTAAAACGGTAAATGGGTCGCAGGCTGACAGGTCACTCCGCAGGCAGGGCGGATGCCGCGTTGTCTCGCTTGTCGGCGCCGCCATGCGGAAATATGTACATTTAAAATTGTATGGCAAATGTTTTGTTTGCAGACCGAGCGTTATTAACTTCTATTGTAGGCTAGTTTTCAGTTATTGGAAACTTGTTGCTGCTGGAAATGGAGTGATATTTTCAGAATAACAGCAGGTTTTTATTGCAGTCTGTGTCTCAGTAATAAACATAATTATGCTCCGCTAATTTTGGTATTTTGCGTGTTTCTGGGAGAGTAAAATAGACAACTCTTAGATTTAGCGATGATTGATGTCAAAAAAAGTCTCCTTTTTACAGGAGATATAAATGCGAACATCAATCCCAGCCCATCTGGCCAGTGTAGATGGTGTAGGCCTAACCCTCCATTTGCCTCTGGTAAATATGTATAATAATAAAGAGTGCACTCCTGTAGTGGAGACTGAATTACCGGACAATGATGGTATCCAAATTCTCGGATTTTTTCCTGCATTGCATACTTTTCTACTATTAGATATATTATTATATATATAAATATTCTATTAGATAGTAGAAATATGGGATACCGTGACAACACATCGTATGATATGGCAGCGTAACCTTGGTGTCAAGCTTAATTAATTACGGCTAATGATATTAATATCATAGTTTGCGGCCCTCCAAGGACCCTATACATGCCAAAAAAGAACAGCCAGCCAACTGAAAGTGGAGATATTTTAAAGGTTTAATACCTCAAAAGTAATTCAAGCATAGAATCAAGACTGATTTGTTAACATCATTATTTGTGCTAATCATGCTTTGTATTGTAAATTAATTAATTACTGGTCTAGTTAAGTCATTAGGCAAGTAATTTATTTTCTGTAAATAATAGGCTTTTATAAAGTGTTTTTATGAGATTGAGAAAAAGTCCTTACACGTTTTATCTAATAAAGGAGACAAAAAGATGTGATGGCAGAAAAGTTTTTGTTGTGAGGCTTGTTTATCTAGTTTATTTCTTCAAGTCAAATCTTGTGATAGTTAGTGGACAGTGTATGCATAATATTCAACCAGTATTGATTGACTGTTCTATTTGGACTGTGCTACCGGTCAAGTTGTTGGTGAATTGTAAAATTAATATGTGTCGTCATGTTACTTAACTATTATGGGTCTAGACAGCATTGGGGGTAACAAGGTTAATAACTAACATGATAGCTCAAATAATCACTTGAAGGTGACTGACTGACATTGTGATCTATCAACGTACAGCCCAAACCAATGGACGGATCGGGCTGAAATTTGGCATGCAGGTAGATGTTATGACGTAGGCATCCGCTAAGAAAGGATTTTACGAAATTTCACCCCTAAGGGTGTAAAACGGGATCCACGCGTACGAAGTCGCGGGCGGCCGCTAGTAACTAATATGATAGCTCAAACTAGCCTAAATTCTCGATCTGTTTTATCGCAATTATGCATCCAAAATAACTCCTTAATTGCGAAAACCACAATGACAATTTAAAATTATTAGATTACTTTGAGCGTTAATGATTACAAGATAATAAGTACTAATCACAAATCCGTGTGGTTAAGGCAAAGTAGAACGGTCCTGCGCTGTCCCGCATCCAGGCTCTTCCCGCGACCTTTACCAGGGGAGGCCTTTGTCCAGCAGTGGACGTCATTTGGCTGAAACGAACGAACGAACGAAGGCAAAGTAGAATAGGTCCACCGCCAATCTTCCCGTAGATATCACAAGAGGCGACTAACGCAGCATAACATTTTGCAAACATCAGGGAACCCTGATGCCTTCCAAATTTTGTCCCTGTTGTTGATGAACGATCATGAAACCTATCTGGCCAGTATGGGAAGTGCAATGTAGGCTAAATCCATTGAAGTAATAGTACGTAGTACATTATAACTCAATGGCTAAGTCTTCCATTTGCCTCTAATAGTAAATTGAGATACAGCGCAGGACTGTTCATTGTAGAAAACCTTGGGGGAGGCCTTTGTCCAGCAGTGGACGTCATTTGGCTGAAACGAACGAATGAACGAAATTGAGATGGTCGTCCTGCAGTGGAGACTAAATGAGCTGATGACGATGATGGTACTGCATTTCACCAATTAATGCTGACTGTCAGTTATCGTCAGCTACTGTGTTATGATATCCGTTTATGACGCGTTGATATAAATATTTATCATCAGCAACGTCATAAATCGCGTCGATTTGCGATAAACATTGAACATTCAACTACATTTCTATTATGATGATGCGTGTATGACATAAATAATTTTATTTATAAAATATATTGACCATAGCTAGTTTCGTTCGTGAGAATTATTTTGTCAAAAATTCCCTTAGGGTACGAGCAGTAGTATTATTAAAATCTACAGGTTTCTTTTTTCAATTATGACCACTAATTTGTGATAAACACGTTATTTACTAATTCACTTACTAATATCCTAATTCACTTCTTAGTTAGTTTGATAATTTGCTAAATAATATAATTATAATTAAATAGGTTTTCAATAATGTAATTAATAGCTTAGCGTTTCAATTAATTTTTTAACCAATTATAATAATCATCATTTATGCTAGACTATTTTGGTGAAATCACTATACGTGGATAGTATTTAGAGAATTTTGTTTTAGTTTCTTCTCTAAATACTATCCACGTATAGTGATTTCACCAAAATAGTCTAGCAATAAACGAGGATAAAACTAGCATCCCTCGAATCGACAGTCCAATATTGAAAGTAGGCTATTGTTGCCTTATTTATAAAAAAGGCACCGAGGAATTTGCGAGTTTTGAGGACTGAAAATCAATAGTATGTGACATGAATACAATGCTCTTGTTAAGGGTCTTCATCATCATCATTTCAGCCATAGGACGTTCACAGGCTGAACATTGGCCTCTGCCAATTATTCCAGATTGGCCGGTTAGAAGCGGCCTGCATGCAAAGGCTTCCTGCAACCTTTATAAGATCATCTGTCCATCTAGCAAGCGGACGTCCAAAATCAATAACATATTCTAATCAAAGAATAGTTGGAAGCGGTTTAGTCCAAACCTAATAAGGTCATCTTTCCTTAATAAGGTCATCTGTCCTTAATTATGTCATCTGTCCTTAATAAGGTTATCTGTCCTTAATAACGTCCCAAATCAACGATATGGTATAAAAAATCAAAGCAGAACCTTATTAAAAGTTCTCATCTTTAAAACTCAATATCTCAAGTCAAAGAGCTCATATGCAGACGCCGCCTCAGTAATCCCGCGCTCATCTGCCCTACCCGTCCGGGATATCCGACGGCCAATATCCGGTCCCGGCAGCTATCGGCCAGTCGGGCTTATTGCCGGGAGATTAGCGTGCCGATAGCTCACTTCTAGGCATATTAGCTTCTTCTGGCTGGGAATATTAATGAAGTCTGATAGATTTATATGCATTTAAGCTTTTAGTTCATTAATGAATCATGCAGATTCTTTGTGAATAAATGAAAGTTTAGAAAAGGTTCTTTTGGCATTGTGAAAAACTTCTCATGTGGGTTCAATGGTGACGGAAAAACTATTGTTGTAAACAGTGTTGTTCATACATGATGTGGGCTGCGTTCACTTTGATCTGACCGCAGACTGCATTCAGTGCGACCATTCTTTAAACTTATAAATAATTCGGAAGTAAATAGATCGGATGATCTTTTAGCAAGTTGCTCTTCAGTCGATGTACTGACTTTATGAAGTTACTGTACTGCTGGACGTAAGACCCCTAAAAAGCGCCATAAAAAACAACATTCTCCTTTTTTAACTTGACAGCGCCAGGAGGGTTATGTTTTTCAACATACTGGCTGACATTCAAAATGAAAACATATTGCTTATCATTAACGTTGCTTGTTGCAGACGAGGGCGGCGGCAGCTCAGACACCCGCTCCGACAGCAGCGAGGACGAGGTCACGGAACACGTGCCGCGGTCCACGCCCCCACCAATCATGGCTGCCGCTAGAGCACAGGTATACCTTCAAAAGTGACAAAAAACAAAGATAAATTTCGTTCGCAGGGAAAGAAAGAGATATTATGCTGCATCAGACACAGGTATAAGTTACAAAACTCTTTTACAGGGAAAATACAACCTCTCGCTCCCTGAGAGAGAGAGAGACATGCAGCTAAACGCCTTGATCATGACAGCAGCAGCTGCCGCTTGATCACGTTCATTCAGCCAAAGTAGGTTAACTGCTAGACAAAGGATTCCTACAAGGATTTCCACAATCAGTTCTTGTTTTACGCTGCCACATCCAGTGGCTTCCCGCCACTCTCACAAGAAAGTCAGTCCACTAACTTAGAGGTTTGATTATATGTATAGCTTTTTTTGGTCCGTAGTTGACATTCGAGAATATTTCTACCTCAGAGAATCTTGGTAAGTTGGCCATGTAAGGCATGGTAACAAAGTTTCTCTTCTTTGTTGATGGACTTTAATTGAACTGAAGTAGTTCATCATCATTGAACGATTGATTGTAACTTCGAAAGTTGTCTACTATTGGAGTGACGTACTTAATATATAACTATTGTGTACCCAGGTGCCAACCATCAGCGTAACGCCGCACAGTCCAGGCGTGCTGGATGACAGCTTACAGCAACTCCGGAGGCTACATGCGGCCGTACAGCGTATGAGAGCGGCGCCATTGCCTTTACTGGTAAGATAACTGCCTGCTTGATGGTCGGACTACGCTAGCGACAATAGTCAAATGACGCACCATTTATGAGCTGTCAAAACGGATTCTCTTACAAATTTTATAAGCCAAAGAAAACAGGGAACATCTGTATGAGTATGATGCGCGCCACGATAAACTTTTATTGAGGCATTTTATCGATTTTACGCGATAACCCACACATTTATTGTCTAAAATCGTGGTTAAGATTTTATCACTGCTGGAGGAGTTAGCGGAAATATTTAATAGTCTTTCTTTTTGTGCACAATACGAATACTTAATCCTTTAAAAATTCTCGTTAGTCCTAAGGGTATTTTGAGACATCTTCGTGCCACGAGTGTTACTAGCAGACAGCTAATATGTATAACAGACTTTGATTTCTTGTTTGGCGTTGACACAATTTCAGATTCACTCATACGATCGACGAGCAATCCTCTTTCCTATACCTTATATTAAAAATGGTTTCTTACCCATTTATTTCCAACAATAGCCTTCCCCATCCCACCTTCGTCACTTGACTGTCAAGTCATATTCATAAGCAGATAAACATTAATGGAATCTCTTAAGACGCCGTCCAAGTTCGCAGGAAGTTCGTAGACGTGTCTTGAAAGGTCCTGTCACCGCAACCGCTGGATGGGGCTATGAATATTCGTAATACATGAGCGACTCAGTGAGTGGGAAATAATATCCTGTGTATTTTTTGTCTGTCCCAGCTTCACTGTTTGCGAGTATAATCGCGTCGATAAGTATTGCCCGCTCAGCTGAATGTACAGAATGTAGAGAAAATGAAGAATTTGCCCTCACTAAAGATTTGGGTTAAAGGTATTTTCGAAAATAAAACTTGTGGGGGGTGGGTTGTACCTAATTTTAATGGGGAACTGACTTCTCATATTGTACAAATGGACTTATTGTTGTGCTTCTGATATAATGTGTTTTTGGGTCCCTACACGCAACTTTCTGTGCCACAAAATCCCACGCAAACAAAAATAAAAATCCGTTTGGCCAGAGTGGGGAGTGGAGGCCAAATCCTCCATTTGCCTCTGGTAAATTAGAGAAAGTCCTGCTCCTGCAGTAAAGACTAAACGACTTAGGGTGGAGTCGATCAAACAAGAGTAAATATTAATCTCAGAATAAATCGTTAGTTTTGACATATACTGAAAATGTCAATGTGCCAGTTATACCAGGAGTTATTCTCGGACAAAAGTTTGGTCAAATTGGCCCGTAATGATGATTCATTTTCCTCGGCTAAATTAGAAAGCGTCGTGTTCCTCCAATGGAAACTAAACGACCTGATGATTGATGATGAATATGATGTTTTATTTCGCAGGCAACTGGCAGCAGTAGACTCAGCACATCATGCCCGTCGCTGTGCAAAGATGGCGCCCCGGAAGCAGAGTGTTCTTCACCCACACACCTGGACTTCTATCCGCAGAGCAGGAAAGGCAGTGGTGAGTTACTTGTCAAGCAAGTACCCTTAGGTAGTTACCCTTGTTAAGCCAAAACCCTTAGGGTCCGGTCTGGTCTTAGGGCACTGGTGCCCGCATCCAAGCGATCTCGCAACCTTCACAAAACCGTCGGTAGAAGATCGAGTGAGAGGCCCTGGTGAAGACAGGCCATCATTGAGTCCTTGGTCGTTACATTAGAACTGCTTTTTTTGTTTCGCTCTAGGTTCAACTGGTAGAAAATGCTATACGACATTAAGTTCGCCTGCAATTTTTTGTGTGCAAAGGAAACTGTTCTGCCACAACAGCCGTTCTACGAACTACTCGTATGCCCACAAAAATACAAAATGTATAAAATATGGTTTGAGGGTTTGTGCCGCGTTCAAGTACGGCCCGACCTTTGGTTTGACATAAGGGTTGTGATTATGTGTCGCGCTCGCACACTCACTGCGGACGCCCGTCGCACAGTCGCGACAGCAATATAATTACGCGCGAGCGATAAGGATGGGTAGCTTGGGGTCATTGGACAAAATTCTACATGCTCAGAGACCGGGCTTTAGTAATCTTAATTTGCTTGTTATGTGATCTTTTTTTTTGTGAATAAATATTTATTATTATTACGTATTTATATTACTTCATTATTCATGTCTAACAGTGTGTCTATCAGGCGAGTCGCGGCAATGGGGCCTGTGGGAGCGTCGCGACGAAGGTCGCAGGAGTTCCTGGGCGGCGCTCGAGCCCACCGCGCACAGGCAGCGGAAGTAAGTGCTGCTTGATTATGAGCCTTGTGGCTATTGTAATAGGGACTGAAGTGAGTCGAGTCGCAGCAATGAGGCATTGGAAGGTAGTGCTGCTTGATTATGAGCCTTGTGGCTATCGTAATAGGGACCAATTGTCGCAGCAATGCACAGGAGTGGAAGTAAGTGCTGCTTGATTATGAGCCTTGTGGCTATTGTAATAGGGACTGAAGTGAGTCGAGTCGCAGCAATGAGGCATTGGAAGGTAGTGCTGCTTGATTATGAGCCTTGTGGCTATCGTAATAGGGACCAATTGTCGCAGCAATGCACAGGCGTGGAAGTAAGTGCTGCTTGATTATGAGCCTTGTGGCTATTGTAATAGGGACTGAAGTGAGTCGAGTCGCAGCAATGAGGCATTGGAAGGTAGTGCTGCTTGATTATGAGCCTTGTGGCTATCGTAATAGGGACCAATTGTCGCAGCAATGCACAGGAGTGGAAGTAAGTGCTGCTTGATTATGAGCCTTGTGGCTATTGTAATAGGGACTGAAGTGAGTCGAGTCGCAGCAATGAGGCATTGGAAGGTAGTGCTGCTTGATTATGAGCCTTGTGGCTATCGTAATAGGGACCAATTGTCGCAGCAATGCACAGGCGTGGAAGTAAGTGCTGCTTGATTATGAGCCTTGTGGCTATTGTAATAGGGACTGAAGTGAGTCGAGTCGCAGCAATGAGGCATTGGAAGGTAGTGCTGCTTGATTATGAGCCTTGTGGCTATCGTAATAGGGACCAATTGTCGCAGCAATGCACAGGCGTGGAAATAAGTGCTGCTTGATTATGAGCCTTGTGGCTATCGTAATAGGGTCCAATTGTCGCAGCAATGGACAGGTGTGGAAGTAAGTGCTGCTTGATTATGAGCCTTGTGGCTATCGTAATAAGAACCTAAATATCATTCGAGTCGCAGCAATGGGGCATCGGAAGATAGTGCTGCTTGATTATGAGCCTTGATACCATCGTAATAGGGACCGAAACATCAGGCGAGTCGCAGCAATGGGGCATTGGAAGGTAGTGCTGCTTGATTATGAGCCTTGTGGCTTGACAGATAAGGGTCAATGTCAATGGGGCCTGTGGGAGCGCCGCGATGAAGGCCGCTGGAGTTCCTGGGCGGCGCTCGAGCCCACCGCGCACAGGCAGCGGAAGTAAGTGCTGCTGGATTATGAGCCTTGTGGCTATCGTAATAGGGACTGAAATATCAGACGAGTTGCAGCAATAGGGCATCAGAAGGTAGTACTACTTGATTATGAGCCTTGATGCTATCGCAATAGGGACCGATTGTCAGGCGAGTTGCAGCAATGGGGCATCGGAAGGTAGTGCTGCTTGATTATGAGCCTTGTGGCTTTTGGAATAGGGGTCGATTTTGGATAAATAAATGTTAGTGTTTGGGTATTTGAAAATTATTAAGCCTTGATCTAATATTAGATAAATGGTTTTCACCCTTATTTGAAACAGACACTTATGCCTGGTTCAGATACAGCGATAATCGCGCGGTTTCTGGGCAGTTCTCGTACCACGTACGTCAAACCGTAACCGCAAGGTTACAGCCTCAGTGCCTCCCCAATGAGAATCACCGAAAAACCACGCAGTTATCGTGCCTGTCTGAACAAGGCCTTATTAAGTAAAAAGGATAAAAAATCTGGTTCTTAGCCCCTAGTGTACTCTTTTAAAACACTGTTTTCTTTTAAACTACCCTTAGGGTAATACCCCAAAAAACCTTAAAAATTGAACATGTTCTACATTTCCAGCACACTGAATGGGCACAGCGCGTCGCTTTCCTCCATGGAATCGGAGGGGGAAGTCCCGAGGCCCGTGCGACACTCCACACACTCGCTCAACGACAATGATCTCGCGGTTAGTATAGTGAACTATAGTGATTATCTATGTAAATCGTGATTAAGAGGTTGGCTATTATGCACAGAGATCATGGGTTTGATCCCTGATCGAAATCTGTTTAGGTTATTCTTCATTATCATCATGGCCTTCCCCAGTGATATCCACATAGCTGGGTGGTAGCGGCGTGCATCTTGAGCCTTCCTGCTCCCTTTAAGAAGTCGGTCGGTCGGCCTATGTTCAGCAGTGGACGTCCTGTGGCTGAAATGATGATGATGAGGGTTTAACATCGTTTATTGACATTTAATAGAAAAACCAAACCGCAGGAGAACCAAAGTAACCGACATAGCTCGCAGAATTGCTCAAATCAAGTGGCAGTGGGCGGGGCACATAGCTCGTAGAGACGATGGCCGTTGGAAACAGACAGGAAAGTTCTCGAGTGGCGACCACGGGCTGGAAGACGTAGCGTGGGCAGGCCGCCTACTAGGTGGACCGACGATCTGGTAAAGGTCGCGGGAAGAGCCTGGATGCGGGCAGCGCAAGACCGTTCATTATGGAAAACCTTGGGGGAGGCCTTTGTCCAGCAGTGGACGTCATTTGGCTGAAACGAACGAACGAACGATTGACATTTAATTATATCCAATTTCTTTAATGATTGTACACACGACGGCACACCAAGCCAAACACTGGCATCTTATGTTGTCCTAATTGGTTCTCTTTTGCAACAAAAATGTCCAGTTTGATGTGCTCGCGACTGTACCTAGTACATTCCACAAACGATTAAAGAAAGATAATTCGTTGTCTGGCAAGTCCGGTTCCCACGCTGTAACACGTGTATTCCACACAGAAGGACTTCGAGAAGGTGACAGCCGCGCTTAGGGCGGGCGGAGTGGCCGCGGCGCCGCCGCATCCCGCGGCGGAGGGCGGGCGGCTGGCGGCACGCCTGCCGCTGCAGAAGTCTGTCTCCACGCCCAGCATCGTGGCCGCCGTGCAGCCGCCGCAGCCGCAGCCGCCCATCGCCATGTGAGTGCCGCTCTACTCTGTAGTCAGCTGTATAAAGTCCAGTCGCCGAGCACGTAGAATTTCGTCCAATGACCCCAAGCTACCCATTCTTATCGCTCGCGCGTAATTATATTGCTGTCGCGCTCGCACACTTACTGCGGGCGCCCGTCGCACAGTCGCGACAGCAATAAAATTACGCGCGAGCGATAAGAATGGGTAGCTTGGGGTCATTGGACGAAATTCTACGTGCTCGGCGACCAGACTTTAGCTGACTTGACTGTAGTATTACAGTCAACTCACTATACCTGTAGTACAGGCAGCTACACTACAACACAGTTATCTACAAATGACTGTATTAAACATTACATCCAGGCGGACTATGCGATTGCGTATACGATACGATACAATCGGCCGAACTACAAATATCTACATTCTACACTACAATCGTTACAATACAATATTAACTTTCTCATCACACAGCTTACAAATGGACATCTCAAGAGCTTTATATGAGTCATTGAATGACCGCTATGTATCGGTCCTCAATAAATTAACGCAATAAACGACTTTTAACGAGTATGTTCCAATATAGCACTGCGATCACTTTTCAGTGCACTCACTATATCGTAGTGCTATATTGGAACATACCCATTATGAAAAGACATAAAAATACCTATATTTAAATATTTTACTTTATATTGAACTGTTATTTTGACGAACACTAAGCTAGTTTAATTAGAAACTTAATATTCAAGTTTAAATTATGTGCATGAAGTTTTTTATGATAATGTGCATGTCCAGAGTCAGTGTTTTGTTTTTATTGCACTATTCGCTTTGCTACAATTATGTACACTGAACACCGGTTACGACCGGACCGTTGTTTTTTAATTTGCACTAATGAGTGGAACTATCGTGTTTATAATTAGGTTACAAAATAAAATAGGTTTTTATTGCATTGTGTAAATAATGCTTACCGGTAATCTAATGAGTAAATAATATCTGGTGTTAGGGTTTGACAGAACTATTTATAATTAAAAATGTACTTAGTAAAAACTGTCACCAGATACGTTTATACATAGAAATTACACTCTTCATCTGTCAGTAAGTAATACCTAAGCTTCTTTTGTTTTCGAGAAAAGCTAGACTAATGCCCTTTTTACCATCAATCCCTAATTATTAAGTGACCCCTATTATGGTGGCTCAAAAACTGAACTCTGACAAACGTTACTTCGACATTACGTTACTCCGACACTACTGAATATCGACATGACTACTTCGACACTACACTTCTTACTCAGACAAAGGCGAATATCCTTTTTTTGTCGGAGTAGTGTAGTGTCGAAGTAAAGTCATGTCGATATTCAGAAGTGTCGGAGTAATGTAATATCGAAGTAACGTTTATCGGAGTTTACTTAGGTATCCCCCTATGGTAACACATAACAAGAATATTGTTTCCAAAGGGGTCACTTAAAAATTAAGGATTGATGTATGAAAACAATTATGCCTGTGAGAGTAAAATAAGAACAGATTACCGGTACGTATAGTTATAGACAGATAAAAATATCTGCCATTGTCAAGTTTCCGTAACCACATAGTCAGATAAACTTCCAAAAAACCACGATAGTTCGACTCGTATTGTACGTCCCGCTCGGTGTTAGCTTGTCCGGCGCGGGTGCGAGCGAGACGGAGAGTGACGAGGACGCGTCGGCGGCGACAGTAGGCGCCACGCCCCAACTGCCCGGACGACGGAATAACGCCCACCAAGAACATTTGGGCTTACACCGCCTGGCGTTCTTAGAACAGTGAGTAGACTGTCCCCCTTATTACGAAAAGTTAAACACTATATAGCGCTTAACTCAGTGCTTGAGGTATGGGAGCGACACGGAAGGTAAAATGTTTAATAAAATACCAAAATCTCTTATATTTATTTATTTATTATTCATTATTGAGCAATTACATATTTATTTAAATAGTGTCTTAAATCCTCTTTAGGTTTGTCTAGACACTATTGTTCTCTATACAATAGAACTACCTATTCATAAATTCAAAGTACAGGTTAAAAAAATACTCATGAAAAAAGGATACTACAAAACGATTATTTAAATGACAAGAGTGCGTGGACTTTACCTGCCTAGCTCGCATTTATTACGTGTCATGTAAGCTATAAAGTACTGTATTGGATTGAAAAAGAGTCTGACAAAGGTGACTGAGTTTCTTCCGCCACTTCTGAGCACCAGCCCATATGTTTTCCCGAAGTGGTGGTAGGGCAAGCTATAATTGGGACGTGTATAAGTGCCCTGGAAAGGGCCTATGTACTGACTAAACTATTTCATCTCATTTCAAAGGGTGTTAAAATTTTTATGAAATTGTTACTGATTGGACATTACTAACTTACTTTTTATTTAATTTAATTTCTACTAACCTAATACGACTCAATGATGTTATGTAAATTTGTACGCCGCCTTGGGCCAAACATAGTGATACCGACTTAATTTTTAACACCTGTAATATGTTATTTACCTATGTTCTACGAATAAACGAATTTGATTTGATTTGATTTGTTTTTGGGACGTCAAATGTCAGCAAGACTTCAAATGTGCTTCAGATTTGTATGCTCTGTCACGTCATAATATGTCAATGTCACCCCTCTCGTGTCGCTCCCTTCCCTCAGGCACTGACTGAGTTGAGCGCTAAGCTTATAGTTTAAATTGACATTTAGTATGAAAATGTCATTTTAAACCAGTTTTCATCCCGGGTTTAACTTTTTTGTAATAAGGGCCTGTGTTTTTATATTACGGGTCGTTTTAGATAGGACGGTGATTGGTCGAACGAGTAGGATCTGCGAGGAAGTGATTCGAGCTAATGAAATTGAGATTCTTTGTCTAGTTAACGAAGAACTGATTGGAGCTAAAGATATTGAAATTCTTTGACTGGTTAATATTAGTTATTTTCTTCTGGCACATACATCTGGGTTATTCCTAAAACCTTAAACTATTATTAAAAAAAATGATGTGGGTTATTCTTATTTCTTAAAACACAATATTTCTCAACGAGTTTGAAAAATATACCTGTTATTAAATTTAGTATTTTGTTTATAAAAATCGAGGGGCAGAGTTTCAATAGTAGGTTTTGCTAAAGGATCTTTCTATTCGTATTTCGTTTCGTCACAAGTAAGTATACAATTAGTTTTCATAATTACAATGGTCATACAATAAATCAAAATGAATTGTCATGTCCTTAGAATTAACGGCACAAATAGATGTTTAAATTTAAGCATGCTAACGCACACGGCTTTGCTTGTGTGTTTGTTTTATCACTTTTAAGATTTAGGTTTTATTTTTGCTTTTGAATTAAATGCATGTGTTAAAAACTTTTTAATGTTATAAATTATGAAACTTTTTTTAAACAGAAATTATTTCAAATTTTTATCAAATATTGGCAAGTTGGCAATCCTGATTCATCAATTTTCAATATTTTTGTGTATTTTATCGACAGAGCGGCCTACGACCATCATGCCGAGAAGCGACGGAAACGTGGAAGTCTTTTCTTCAGGAAGAAAAAGGTAATACCTCTAGAAAAAGTCGTAAAAGGACAATATTTTTTCAATTTGATTCAAATGTTCGTTTTAGATAGAGCTAAGGCCGTGTTCAGAAAGATTTAAATCCTTTCAGCGAGCTTAGTTTCATTTTGAGGTTTTTTCCATTTGCCTCACGGTTAATTTGTAAAAGAGTAGTTACTCTTTCATTCTTAAGAGAGGTTCAACCCAGGACGGGTTCGATTCCCAGATGAACACGGAAAAATCCCAAATTGTGTAAAACCCTTTTCGTTAGCCATTCAGACAGGTTGAAATTAATCTAAATTTTAGTAAAGTTTGAATTTCAATTTATTTTGAAGATTGTGTAGTTGCTTCATAATTCCCCTTTTTTTTTCAGGACAAATCCCGTAAAGCGTCTCACGCTTGGCTCGCGGCCGGTAGCGGAGGAGACTGCGACTGGTGTGGACGCGCCCTTACTGACAAACCCTCGCTTTACTGCGAAAGTGAGTACGCAGAATTAGACCTTATACCTAAGAACTTAAGATGACTTGTTGAATGAGCTGATCATTTTAGATTTGTACCTTATTTTTCACCCAAAAACCACACCAACTGCAATATACAAAAGATGAATAATTGGTTGTCTTCAACATTAAGATGGTTTTCGTTTGTTTTTGTTACAGATTGTACCATGACAGTGCATCAAAACGTATGCAAAGACTACATTGTAGAATGCAATAAACCAAAAACATCAAAGGTTTGTACAGATTTATTCAAAATCGTCCTTATGGCTTCGCGATAAGGATACAATTGGACTACACGTAAATTATGTGTAAGATTTGAGGGACTTTGAGCTTTATATTGTTGTAAATAAAATCCAATATACTTGATTTCAGACGTCTGTCGGAAAATCGTTAAGCGCGAACAGTGGCAAAAGCAGTAAACGGAGCTCTGTTTCTGGCCAGTCTCAAAACTCTAATAGGTAAGTACTTTTGCCAGAATTTGCTTTTAAAATTAAAAAGAAAACTAAATACGAAATTCAAATGTCATGATTAAATTAAAAGTAATAAAACTGGCAGTGAATAAATTATGTAGAGAAAAAGTTTGAATATATTTTGTATGGCATATATTTTGCTGCTTTATTTTTTCATTGTTGCAACGTATGGCAAAGGAACAACGAGTGATTCCATAGACAATGCCGTTTTACGCTGATGCATTTTGGATTTGTTTTGCGTGCAGATTGTGCGAGATTTTATGTATTTTGCGAAGACAAATTAAAAACTGAAACGTTTGAAATGTTTTAGGTACTTTTAGGTGTAAAATAAAGTTCAGTGTCAGGTTATTTGTTATGATTTAATTATAAGAAGATACACAAGTATGTGACACTGTAATTTAATATTTTTACACTTGTTTTCTTACACTGTGTTTAAATATGCTTTGTATCATTGCTAGTCTTCACTTGGTTTATCTGTTTTGTTTCATTTTGTTATTTATTTCGTTGTTTTCTGAACGCTATTGTATAGCTTCGTTTGTTTCCAGTAAGCTATATTTTGGTTTGATGTTTTTTTTTTATTTGGTTCGGTGAAAAAATGTCTTCTTATAAAGGAAATCATTAGGTTTGTTAATATTGAGAGTTCGAGGTGACATTTCGGCTAAGTAAGTTATTAAATAAAGATTAAAAACTTTAAAAAACGTTTGATTGACGTCACGCGAGAGTGCGCTGACCTTTCCGAATGCCGCCTCGAGCCGTGTACCCGCGTCACGTGACCGCACAGGCAACGAATGCCACGCACACATATGAACATGTGTTGTTGCATACGCACACAGCAAGAAGCAGTCGGGGTGCTATTCACCGTGGCGCCGCGTCGCGACCAAGCTCGGCGTGCAGTAAGTTGCGCGAATGCTGCGATATACCGCTGCCTCTTTCTTACTCTATCATCACACATACATTCACCGTCATCGTTCTGTCTCGCTCTCTCTGTCACCGACGCGGTCTCCTGGTCACTCGGTTAGGTTAGGATTTTTTTGTAATTTTGGTTGGTAGGTTTTGTTGTTATGTTTTGTGAGTTTTTTTTTCGTCGATTTGTAACGGAGGTTTTGTTTGTGAAATAAAAAAGTTTTATTTATTGATCTTGATAAAAATGGCTAATATACGTCACAATAAGGCCTAGTTCAGACGCGTGATAACTTCGCTATTTTTGGGTAGTTCTCATTGCCAATACACTGAGGCGGTAACCATGCGGTTACGGTGATGTAAAATGTAGGAGAACTGCCCAACAACTGCGCGATTATCGTTGTTTCTGCACCAAGCTTTAATAGCTAGTAAAAAAAGATCTGCTACAGCAGTTTTGACTAACTCATTCACATGGATCTTTTTATTTTAAAAACACCTACATCCTTCAACATTCAACTCAAAATGACTCATCAATTCTTTTATCAAGTAATATTTCACAAACAAACGGCACCCTCCCGACCCGCGGCGCCAGACCATCCACATCCAGAGTCTTCTAGTTCACCATCGAGCCTTACTTGTGTATCTTTCTGTCTGAGGTAGTTTGGACTTCGAGCGAGTACACAGGTCGACGGTATGTGACGTGGCGAAATCTTAAACAATAATACTGATAAAAGTTGTGGAATGGGATTGGAAATTAAACACACCAGTTTAAAGGCTGACATACACAAGATCCGTATGTAGAAATTAGTATACTTATAGTCCGGTCGCCGAGCACGTAGAATTTAGTCCAATGACCCCAAGCTACCCATCCTTATCGCTCGCGCGTAATTATGTTGCTGCTGCTGTCGCAACTTTGTGACGGGCGGCCGCAGTGAGTGTGCGAGCGCGACAGCAACATAATTACGCGCGAGCGATAAGGATGGTAGGTAGCTTGGGGTCATTGGACGAAATTCTATGTGCTCTTCGACCGGGATTTACATATAAGTATTACTTAAACATCAAGCTAAACACTGTGGCAGCAGCTTATGCATATAAGATTTTAAACTTTCGATTTCGACTAACTGTAATAAGAGTGAATTTGCAATAAAATCTGTTGACTGTACGTCCACGTGTTTCAAGCTTGATAATGATAAAAATAAAACTGCTTCATAATTTTTTTATGAAACGGTTGATTATAAAACGTATTTTGATATCACCTCGCCATTTTCGTCACCAAAATTACATTCAAAAGGTGGACATCAAATCAAATCATCCAAAATTGGATGGTTAGCAACTACTTTAAAAAGTAGTTGCCAATCGCCTTTCCAATCCCATTAAAAGGTTGAATATTGTACAGATTTCGCAACACGTTGCATAGTTGAGTGTGTATTGGCCCTTCTTGAGAGATGTTGTCGTAGATCGTTGGTTTCAAATCAGTTATTATTTCGCTGATGATTTATTTTCGTCTGTTTTTGTACAGTTTTGTCTAGTTTAGTGATGGTGGCCAGTATGTTAAAAAGAAAAGAATAAATATAATGTACTTATTAAAAGTTTAAAGTTATTGTTTACTCAGCATACACAATGTACCATCGGCAACAGTGTTAACTATCCATTGCCTGTCATGTCGTCTCGTTCTATCGCAAAGAATCACCATTTGATGAGAGCGAGAGCAAAAACGGAAATGGGTAGTTAACCAGTGTGGCCGTGTGTACAATACACCTTGCAAAACCTCTAATTAAAATAATAATTATTAAATTAAATTATTATTTTAATAGTATGTCTAGCGCTTAACTGAGTCAGTGTCTGAGATATGGGAGCGACGCGTATTTCCCTTTCCGTGTTCAATTGGCGACGAAAATTAGCACGACTTTGTATTATTATCCAACTCGCCAAACCCGTGCCTATTGAAGAATGTTCACTAATTTTGTTTTTTAGCTTTCTGAATTCTCTGTTAAAAATAAAAAATACAAGTGAAAGAATTATTTCGATACGTCAATTAGTTTCCAAGATATTGAATTTTAAAGGTGCGGGCGGCGGCCGGCCCGCCATTTTATGCGCGTGACGTCATTTTACAGTGACTGGCTCAAATTTGTATGGGTGGAATCTTGCAAGCTGAATTAAAACCCACTTCCAGGCAACCGATTAAGCTGAAATTTCGCATACACATGTAATTTGGATGACCATGCAATATTATGATGACATGGAGCTGATCTGATGATGGAGCTGGAAGGTGGCCATAGGAACTCCATAATAAAACGACATAAATCCATCGAGTTTGGGCTCGTTCGTTTTGTATTGACGAGTACTTCAATTCTATATAGTAATCAGGGTCTGATGATGGCTCTGGAAGGTACTTCGCAATAAAACGACACAATCGCATCAAGTTTGGGTTTGGTTCAATTTTAATTTCTGTGATGGGTCTGGGTGTTAATATGTATAATATGTATGTATTTACAAGAAAAAATGTATTTAAGTATGTTTATATCCGTTTTCTAGTGAGCGGACACTGTGAATGTACGTCACGCGGGGTCACGTGACCGTCGGCGGTACTCGATATCTTAGCGAACTTTGAATGCCTATAAAATCATAACTACTTGGTATTTTTGAATGAAATAAAAACAAATGTATTTGTATATGTAAAAGCTTAACTGTTACAAAGGTTTCAAGTGATTTTGCATACCTAGTAACATTCTCAATTGGCGTCAACTGAACGCGATTTTAGCGATCAATCAAAGCTAACATAGGTTTTACAAAACCGTGTGCATTTTAAGAGAACACGGTTTTAATTCGATTCGATTTAAAACAAACCCGTGCTGATTTCGCGCGTTCTATGAACATAGATGAAAACCAGCGTTCTGCAAAATAATTATTTCAAAGTAATTTTTCTTTATTATTTTTAACGTGTCTACTGTATCCTTGTTCACATAGACAAAAACAATGGATCTGGACACTTGCTAGTACTAGGTACGCACTTATTTTTATGCAAATAAATGTCTTTTTTTAAATTGTATTATAATGTTTCGCTGAACTTCCATACATAACCAGTTTCATACACCCTTGCTGTATTCAGTTCAACTACACACTAATTTGTGTATAACATTACGTAGCGCCACGCATTACAAAGACAGTTGATGCGAACTGAACACAGGCAAGTTTTTAATTCAGCTGTACACTGTTTTGTAAAACCTCTGTTAGGATTGCTTGATCGCAAAATCGCGTTCAGTTGACGCCAATTAAGCACGGGTTTGGCGAGTTGGATAGTAATACAAAACCGTGCCGATTTTCGTCGCCAATTGAACACGGAAAGGGAAATACGCGGGAGTGACATGGGACCCATTTTTGTGACGGCAAATGTCGGCGAGACTTCAGATTTGTATGCTCTGTCACGTCATAAATTATGTCAGGAACACCCCTCCCGTGCTGCTCCCATACCTCAACTCCCATACTCAGTTATGCGCTAGCCTATAATAATTTGAAGTAAATAACTCATGTTTTATTCTTAAAATTGGACAGATAATACTAAAGTGAAGAAACGCAAGTTATTCTTTTAATTTTTAGCTTACTAGGCTAGTCCATTTCTAAGTTAGAACATCGACACAGTTAAGTATCTTGCGGCTTAGGCATCTGCCTAAATTACTCACTATTTATTTTATTTTAATCAAAATTATGCATGTCGTTTATTTCAAAAGTTACTGTGTATTATCGAGTACCGCTTCTTTTATTAATTTCAGGCTTCGCTGAATTTTTATTTTTGAAATGCTATCATGTAGGTTCTTCGATGGAATTTCACTTTTATTTCGACGGACTACGTCATAATTTGCTCTGTCTCCTAAATGATAGACTGACGATGTAAGACCTATCGTATCATTATATTCATTTGTTGTGTCGATTGAACTTGACCCTGTCTATTTTGATCTTGGTATTGATTTTATTACTTCCTATGGCTACACAGAATAGATTGATTTTTTTTAAAATAAAGGTATTTTATATGCTTCACACCTTTCCATAATCGTTCATATGTCCGGGGGCATTATGTTATGTCGAGAAGACAAGAAAACAACGTTAAAGTGCTTCTATTTTTTAGTACTTCTATTTGCAATCTCCTCCTTTTTGAAAGTCGGTTAAAAAACTTTATCATGATTACAGTAAAACACGTTTTTTTAGGGTTCCGTAGCCAAATAGCAAAAAACGGAACCCTTATATTTTTAACATAACCTAAGGTGCCTTAAATAGAGTGCCATAAGAAAGTAACGCGCATGCAAGTCAGAAATCTAAGTATTGATGTCTATTCTTACTTACAAATAAGGGTTCCTTGTCAGGACGACGGAACCCTAAAAACTAAGGAATATCTAACTAAATCAATCTATTCCGCACGGCCAGACATCAATACAGTCGCGAATTACGGATCATTAACGTGCCAATGTTTTTTTTCAGCACAAGCCACACGTATAACGACGACAAAGACGGGTCAGACCACAAACACGATCAGAGCAAGTAAGTCACGGTTGAATAAATATAATGTTATTAAAAACTTTACTTGTAGTCCAGTCAAGTCAAAAGTGGCTCCAAGTGGTTCGTCTAAATATACGCACGGTGCAGTCCCCTCCCTGGAACTAGGCTTAACATGCTCCCGCAGGTCTAGAATATTAGCTCAATGTTGATTTAGTCGATTTTCTCCTAATGGGAACATGTAAAACAAAAATAAAATTTCCAATATTACAGACCTTCTAGAGCAATTGATCTCACCTGTAGCAAATTCAATAAGCTTTTTTTGGTTCATAGTAGCCATGTCACTAGGACGCATAGTTTCCGAGGATTAAGCGAAAAACCGAAAAGTGGTACCTTTAAACCCCCCTCTTCCCGCCGGCTCAAGGGCTAAGGGCGGGGACTTTTACTATGTTCACCTCCTAAATAAAGTCCCGAGATCAGAAATTGTGTTCCACGGATTTCCATCTTTATTGACTGGACTATTGTACATTATATGTAATAGAAAATAGATTACTGAACGTTGTAAGTTGAGTGACATGTGATGTATTGGTGCAACTGTGTGCCACCATAGCTGTTAAAATAATAAACTGAATAGAACAAAATATTAACTGGTTGGATTTCGTTAAAGGCCAAACTGCAACTCCTGGATAGCCAGGATCTGCAGTTGTAGAAAATGTTATTCTTGTTTAAAGGCATAAGTTTCTGAAAAAGCTTGCCATAAGATAGCAATGAGTTACAGTTGTGAGAAAGACGTCTTTAATCAATTTTGACCAAGATTTGGCTTGTCAAAAAAATAAAAATAAGGTAGCGTTTAAAAGGCTTTTTAAATGACTCCTCATCTTTTGACTGTATTAGTCCCATTTAATTATGTCTTTATTCCCAGTGCATCAGACGACGCCGGCGTGACGGAGTGGCCTGAGGTGTACCTAACACCAGATCAGCTAGGCGACGAAGCAACGGCGCTGGGACTGGGCGCTTCCGAGCCTGACACCTGGGCGGCCGGTGCACCTAAGGGGCTGGCCAAGTAAGTGGAGCTTTGTAACCTTTATTACAGTGTGTTAGGGTTCAAAATAACTTACACCAGAGCAGCTAGGCGACGAGGCAACAGCACTGGGACTAGGCGCTTCTGAGCCTGACACCTGGGCGGCCGGCGCACCCAAGGGGTTGGCCAAGTGAGTGGAACATTGTAATCCTTATTGTGACAGGTTAAGGTTCAATAATACCATTCACCATCAGCTGGGGGACGAGGCAACAGCACTAGGATTGGGCGCTTCCGAGCTTGACACCTGGGCGGCTGGTGCGCCAAAAGGGCTGGCCAAGTAAGTGGAGTATTGTAACCTTTATTACAGTGTATTAGGGTTCAAAATAACTAACACCTGATCAGCTAGGCGACGAGGTAACGGCGCAGGCTTCCTGACACCTGGGCGGCCGGTGCGCCTAAGGGGCTAGCCAAGTACGTGGAGCTTTGTAACCTTTATAACAGTGTGTTAGGGTTCAAAATAACTTACACCAGGTCAGCTAGGCGACGAGGTAACGGCGCAGGCTTCCTGACACCTGGGCGGCTGGTGCGCCTAAGGGGCTGGCCAAGTGAGTGGAGCATTGTAACCTTAATAACAGTGTGTTAGGGTTCAAAATAACTACTAACACCAGGTCAGCTAGGCGACGAGGTAACGGCGCAGGCTTCCTGACACCTGGGCGGCCGGTGCGCCTAAGGGGCTAGCCAAGTAAGTGGAGCTTTGTAACCTTTATTACATTGTGTTCGGTTTAAAGAATCTTTATTCTCATAAGAACAGGGTAGTTCACTTACATGAGATTATAATAATTTACAACAATTGTCTTGTGACGAAGCATGCGCAAAGCCCACAAACAAAAAATAATGTAGGTACATAAATAATTATTAACATTATTTCGAATAAGTAAACATCNCTAAGTCATAGTTATAGTCCAAGGCACATCTAGCCTATTAAACTGGAGGCGCGTCTAGCCTCGTTATATTTAGTCATATTCAAAAGCGCATCTAGCCTGATAAACTGGAGGAGTGTCTAGCCTCATACTAAGTCATAGTCATGGTCACAGTCACAGTCATAGTTATAGTCAAAGTCAAAGCCAAAAGTCAAAATATCTTTATTCGTTTAGACTAATTAATAGTACTTACAAATGGTCGAATATTTTGTTCTTAAGGAGCCTCTACACGTCTCATACTTAGTCATAGTCAATGGCGCATCTAGCCTGATAAACTGGAGGCACGTCTAGCCTCGTTATACTAAGTCATAGTCATAGTCTAAGGCGCATCTAGCCTTGTTATACTTAGTCATAGTCAAAGGCGCATCTAGCCTTATTTTACTTAGTCATAGTCAAAGGCGCATCTAGCCTTATAAACTGGAGGCGCGTCTAGCCTCGTTGTACTGAGTCATAGTCAAAGGCGCATCTAGCCTTGTAATACTTAGTCATAGTCAAAGGCGCATCTAGCCCTGTTATACTTAGTCATAGTCAAAGGCGCATCTAGCCTTATAAACTGGAGGCGCGTCTAGCCTCGTTGTACTAAGTCATAGTCAAAGGCGCATCTAGCCTTGTAATACTTAGTCATAGTCAAAGGCGCATCTAGCCTTGTTATACTTAGTCATAGTCAAAGGCGCATCTAGCCTTGTTATACTTAGTCATAGTCAAAGGCGCATCTAGCCTTGTTATACTAAGTCTTAGTCATGGTCAAAGTCATAGTCATAGTCTAAGGCGCATCTAGCCTATTAAATGGAGGCGCGTCTAGCCTCGTTATACTAAGTCTTAGTCATGGTCAAAGTCATAGTCATAGTCTAAGGCGCATCTAGCCTATTAAACTGGAGGCGCGTCTAGCCTCGTTGTACTGAGTCATAGTCAAAGGCGCATCTAGCCTTGTAATACTTGGTCATAGTCAAAGGCGCATCTAGCCTTGTTATACTTAGTCATAGTCAAAGGCGCATCTAGCCTTGTTATACTTAGTCATAGTCAAAGGCGCATCTAGCCTTGTTATACTAAGTCTTAGTCATGGTCATAGTCATGGTCATAGTCATAGTCATAGTTATAGTCAAAGTCAAAAGTCAAAAGTCAAAAGTCAAAATATCTTTATTCGTTTAGACTAATTAATAGTACTTACAAATGGTCGAATATTTTGTTCTTAAGGAACCTCTACATGTCTCATACTTAGTCATAGTCAATGGCGCATCTAGCCTGATAAACTGGAGGCACGTCTAGCCTCGTTATACTAAGTCATAGTCATAGTCTAAGGCGCATCTAGCCTAATAAACTGGAGGCGCGTCTAACCTCGATATACTAAGTCAGTCACAGTCATAGTCAAGGTCATAGTTTAAGGCGCATCTAGCCTAATAAACTGGAGGCGCGTCTAGCCTCGTTATATTTAGTCATAGTAAAGGCGCGTCTAGCCTAATAATCTGGAGGCGCGTCTAGCCTCGTTTTAAACAACTTTTCCATGCATTAAACGAAATATTCATACTTTTTTCTACTTGAACTTTTAAAATCAATTACTTTTTAACCAAATAAATTNGCATATATAGTAGAATAATAAACAATTCTATGACAACTTGTTAACGAGTGTTTTAACATTAATAATGCATTTTAGAAACTATATTCTTCATAATATTAAACCAGTAACAAATGTTAAGAAAGGGAGAAAAATCTTGTAGGCACTTATACACACTATACATTTTCACCTAATCTATATTATTCGTAATGACTTATTTTATAACCAATAACGGATATTTGCATGAAATTCAGATATTAATCGTTTTACTTTATAATTTTCTCAAAACTACCATATCGAATATATTGGAAACTTCTCTTTTAAAATCCAAATTTTTATTTCACATAAATACACGTCCATTAGATATTAGTACATAATCAATTTAATTACAGTGTATCTTGCCATGACTGCCATGTGAAAGTTATTAAGTTTATAAGAATATGTCAAAACGTTAATATTATATCCAATTATATCCATTTGTAACCGTAATCTGGCAAATAATGAATTATGGTCACGATTTATGATTAACACTAAAGGTACTTTCGTCAGAATTATGTATTTCTAAGGCCTTAACATAATTTAATTCTTTACAAATTTTTCAAGTTTTTGAAACCAATAGGTACAATTACAGTGTGCTTATATTGTGTTTCTGAATGTCTGTGATGCTCGATTTCATCACGATAAGCGCAACATATTTGCCATCTAGCTGTACGTGGGACCACTAAAAATATCAACCTTACTGTATCTGCTATTTGAAGAGATTACGATGTTTGGATGGGTTGTCGTCAGATTCTATGACTAAATTTTGGTATTTGGACCATTCGCGGAACTAAATTTCTTCTCTTTTTTTTTAACGTGGTTCTTAAGGCAGCATAACCAGTAGAAACTTTTAAGTCCTAAAAGATATACTTTTTTTTTTAGCACACACACCACAGCTAGTGTCTCTTACTCATAGAAGTTGTCTTTCATTGAAGATGTCTTTCCTCAGGGGTCGTCTGTCTGTGGGTCGACTAAAGTAAGTGACTGCTACAGAACTTTGAAGACTTTTCTCTTTATCATCAAGATCTGACTTAAATATGATTTAGAGTCCTGAATAATATTGATAATCATAGCATTGGATCAAGTTAGTCATCTATGGTTTTCTGAACCCCTTTCCCTTTTGTAATGAGATAAGTGGTAATGGTGGTATTTGCACATTATTTTTCATCCTGACATCAAAGACTGCACGTGTACGTCCTATCTCGGTCAGATTTATAGCAATACAATCGCGATAATTTCACAAAAGAGTATGAAGCTTATCTAACTAACCAGAACATGTCGGAACTAAGTCCGGGCTTAGTCATAATATCAGCTCTATCGAGAGTATCCATAGCTGAGGGGTCTTTTACAATTCGATTTACATGACATATTGGACATGCTCCAAAAAGCATTGAAGTAGCTATTAAAATATTTGCTTTAAGTGTTATTGGACTAGGCGACAAATTACCAAAAACGATTTCACCCTTGCCGTTGTGAATTAAAAAGGCTCTTTTAAACACCCGGTACTTGGCCCCCTGTTTAATTTACATACATAACATACAAAACAAACAACTGTGACAAACAAAATTCCACGCGGAAGAACCCTCGGCGGAAAGCTATTCGCATTATAAAATATCACTTGAAAATATAGAACCGCCTAAGGCGGGAATCGAACCCACGGCCCCAAGCTCGCCAGGTGTCAAGTTATTTTAAAAATTTAAATCGAAAGGCAACTGTGAACGCCAGAAACTATCCTCTGTAAAACTAGAAATTCATGTCAACTGGTATTCACTTGTGTCCGTCATTTTCGTGGCTCTCGAAAATATTCTGACCAGGAATTTTATAGAATGTCAGTGTTCAAAACCGTGAGAAATTGCAGTTGCGTGAAGTTTTGACCAATAGACGTGTTGACACCGCCAGTCAATTGACGTAATTTTAAAAACTGTTAAATCAAACTCCCATAGATTTCGTATGGCACGACAAGCAAGTGACGTCGCTATTTTGTGAATTTAATCAAACTACTTTTCTTAATTACAATCCGACCAAAAATGGTAATTTACAGGTCATTTCAGATTAATTAAGCTTTCAAGATCAGAATGTCTTTAATAAATTGTAATATCGAATCAATATCGGTGTCAAATCGTCCATTGTCAGTGAAGTCTGCTATACATCATCAATCACTAACACTTCTATAACAGCATCAATCTCATCAACATTCTTGTTTATATTAGCTCTATAGAGGTATGACTGATGATTGACCACAACTTTTACAATTGGGAATTGATATTGAAATGATCCGCCAAACTATACTTAGTTTCAGCATCGGCTTTGCGTCAACAAGTGCACTCACTACCAACACTTAAAAGGATTTTTCATTTACCAAAACAGTCTCATAGATTTTTTTCGTCATAAAAATAATTACGTAAACTGTTCATCCTTTCAAGTAGCAGGATTCAAAATTTCCTCTAACAGACGTCCGTAGTTCTTTTAGCTAAGCCAATTAACTTTTGCAATGTCTAAGTCAAAGACAAAATTCTCTTATTTGCATTAGCTATTATAATAGCGCTCACAAAATTGTCATAAAATGAAAGACTACTAAAAGAAAAACTTTAAACTTCTGCTCATTATGGAACCTTGACGTTTCATATTCGAAATATATTTTTGAAGTGGAATTATAGATCTATAGACAAGATATTGTACTTGGCAAAAGAACCTACCGAAAGTCCGAACCGACGACAATTTTAAAATAAACGAATCATTAATTAATTCACTTTACTTGTGTAAAAATATTTAAAAAAATAATTTTTTTTTAACACATTTACTTTAACGTTAATTTAAACGTTATAATCGAATACTTTATTATTACCTTTAATTATTACTATTAAAGATTTACTACATAAGCTAATATTCCCATTTTACTGTAGGTATGCATAATATTTCATAATGTGTGCGCAATAAAAAAAAACCACCAATAAAAAATAGGCACTTTTCCTCACTAGAGTCTACCAGAAATTTTACGAACCTCATGTGGCACTGCTCCCTCAGCAGAGCTGGAAGAAGATGAGCTCCTTCGTGCATCTTTCCTCAACCTTGGCCCCATAGAAGACGATCGTGGTGGCGCCTTCTTACTGGACGACGACGACAACCTCGCTCGCTTAGCACGCTTATTTCATCGTCAGCTGACGGGTGCTCCTGGCGGTATACGAGCTCCATCCTCAGCAGTCGCTGTACTCAACTGTGAAATAAAGTACTCGACGAAATAAACTGTGTCTGACCAGCATCAACTCAACATCATATGGAAGCTATGTTCATGTTATATTAAGCAAAAGTTTGATTTGTCTTTTCCAAAAATCTAAATCTCAAAAATAAATCTAAAAAATCTTTTGTTTGACAATTAATATTATGCTCCCTGAGCAAAGTGTAGTAAAATACCATTGTGGCATGTTTCTATTATACTTATGCATCACAAATAAAGATTTTGTATTTATATTTGTATTTTATTCAGTGCGACCTACACACACAACTCATGTGACAACTGGACGGCTTCCTTGTTATGTTAGCAATAGAAGGCTTTTTATTCTAGAGACATCCTAAACAATGGGGCCCTTAAGGCGCATCTAGCCTGGTAAACTGGAGGCACGTCTAGCCTCGTCATACTAAGTCATAGTCATAGTCCAAGGCACGTCTAGCCTAATGAACTGGAGGCGCTTCTAGCCTCGTTATATTTAGTCATATTCAAAAGCGCATCTAGCCTGATAAACTGGAGGAATGTCTAGCCTCGTTATACTAAGTCATAGTCATGGTCATAGTCATAGTCATAGTCATAGTCATAGTCAAAGTCAAAGGTCAAAATATCTTTATTCGTTTAGACTAATTAATAGTACTTACAAATGGTCGAATATTTTGTTCTTAAGGAACCTCTACATGTCTCATACTTAGTCATAGGCAATGGCGCATCTAGCCTGATAAACTGGAGGCACGTCTAGCCTCGTTATACTAAGTCATAGTCCAAGGCGCATCTAGCCTAATAAACTGGAGGCGCGTCGAGCCTCGATATACTAAGTCAGTCACAGTCATGGTCATGGTCATAGTCATAGTCTAAGGCGCATCTAGTCTAAGGCGCATCTAGCCTAATAAACTGGAGGCGCGTCTAGCCTCGATATACTAAGTCAGTCACAGTCATAGTCATGGTCATAGTCATAGTCTAAGGTGCATCTAGCCTAATAAACTGGAGGCGCGTCCAGTTCTCATACTTAGTCATAGTCAATGGCGCATCTAGCCTGATAAACTGGAGGCACGTCTAGCCTCGTTATACTAAGTCATAGTCATAGTCATACTCATAGTCATGGTCATGGTCATGGTCATGGTCATATTGGTCATGGACATAGTCATAGTCTAAGGCGTATCTAGCCTAATAATCTGGAGGCGCGTCTAGCCTCGTTTTAAACATAACTTTTCCATGCATTAAACGAAATATTCATACTTCGTTCTACTTGAACTTTTAAAATCAATTACTTTTTAACCAAATAAATTAAGACGTACCTTATGAGCTGTAGATCACATCCCACTTCTGAGTTGAAATGAAACACTCTTGTAGGTTGTTTAACTTGTATTTCAGCACCACTGATTTACACAATTCCGACATTATGACGTCAACCTAATAGTACCTCTCGCTTCGAACGCTCAAATCGAACTGACTGTCCAGCGGCATGCCAGCGATAAGGTAACTTCCCCTTCCATCAGTGAAAGTCGACCGGTTCAAAACGACTTATCGACGGCATGCCCCGGAACTAGTCAAATGCAATACTTATTTCATAATTAGCTGTTTTTTAATTTTTAAAATAATAAAATGTATACAATAAAAATCTAAAATAATTAAATTAAATAATAAATATGAAATAATTGGATTTAATACAAAATAAATTCTAAAATTATTCTAATGTCTGCAAAATGCCTAGGAAGTAATCAAATAAAGTATTTTAATTTAATAATGGGTTTTTCTAAAATACAATACAAATACTAAAATTGTTGCAATAACTATTTAAAAGTAACCAATAATCGTATAAAATACAATATAAATTCTAAAATCATTACAGTTAGTATATGTTCTTTGAGTTTTCGTTTGTAGATTTGTATACTTTCACTATTTTTGATTGAATCCGGAAGTTTATTATATAGTTGAACACCTTCATATATTATATTCTTTTTTCCATACCTTGTTGTTGTGTTAAGGTTCAAGTATAACTAACTTGGGCTCGCCAAAGAACGAGCAGTAGCCTGAGACGAAGCCGCGGACGAACGTCCAATATTAGAACAATAACTCGCGGCTTCGTTTCAATGGCTCCGAGGACACCGTCGGGTTTTAGTGGGTAGACCCCGCCCTCCCAGCAAGGAGAGTCCTACATAACCCACTGACTGACTGTCCCCATCAGTCAGTGGCATGCGCAAAGCATTTCCCGACGCAAAAAAAGTAAGTCGAACATTTTTGTAGTACCTAACCCTTATTACGTTGATTTATTTAATTTGTTAGGACGTGTTGTTAATGTGGCCAACTGGCCAAGTCAGAGCCTGTGTACATTGGTTCCTTTGGGGTACTCTAAAGACAAAACGTTTGTGTCGATTTGATGATTCTTTTTATTTCAGCGAGTGATACTAAAGACAGCGACTGCTAACGCCGTATTGAATCACCCCACCACAAACAGTGTTGCTTATTTATTCATACTACTTGTTTTGTTGCAGATCATTAGGAGAAAGAGAAACGAAACGTCAAGAACACATTTATGAATTAATACTGACTGAAAAACACCACTGTCTCACTATTAGGCTTATGCAAAAAGTAAGTACACACGGCCACACTGTTAACTATCCATTTCCGTTTTTGCTCTCGCTCTCATCAAATGGTGAATCTTTGCGTTAGACCGAGACGTCATGACCGGCAATAGGCAGTTAACACTTTTGCCGATAGTACATACATGTACAAAGAAGTGCAATGTTTTCCTAAAATTTTTTTTACAATAGGTGTTTTAAAGTACCTAGTCGTTTTGATTGAAACTCTGTTTTTTAACATCAATAATCAAATAAAAATACTGTCACTTTTATACTGTATTCTGTATGTATCTAATCTTATCTTATGATGATGTTTCTTCCAGATGTTCGTAGAAGGAATGCTCCGATTCAGCGGCGTATCAGGTTCGCAAGTCGCGCGAATGTTCCCCCGGGTTGACGAGCTATGGGCTTTACACGCGGCGTTGCTTACGAGGCTACGAGCGAGGCAGAGGGCAGCACCGGCGGTGTCTTCTGTGGCTGATATATTAGCTGAGACCTTCGCACCGCCGGCGCATCAGAAACTAAAGGCTGCTTATGGTAAGTGTGGTCTAGTAGAGTATGATAATCTAGGGTCTACTCATGGTTTAGTGACGAGGATATGAGTGAGATAGATGGTAGCACCGGCGGTGTCATCTGTAGCTGATATACTAGCTGAGACCTTTGCGCCGCCGGCGCATCAGAAGCTAAAGGCTGCTTATGGTAAGTGTGGTCACTAGGGTGTGATAATTTGAAGCCTATCATAGAGGTAGTTATGAAGCTATGAGTGAGACAGAGGGCAGCACCGGCGGTGTCGTCGGTATTCGACATACTGGCAGTGTGAATGACCCTAGACTCCTCAAAGGAAAGCTAAAACAAACGCAACATGGTTACAGCCTACTTTTATCCCTATGTTCTAATGCAGGGGTTCCCAAACCTATTTTGTCTACTGCTTACTTTGAGAATAAATTGTTTTTAGCGCCCCCATTTTTTCACCTAGTCGAGAGTCGAGAGCTCTGTCTGTGTCTAATCCCCGTTTTCACCATCAATCCCTAATTTTTAAGTGACCCATATGGTAACACGTAACAGGAATTTTGTTGTCATAGGCGTCGCTTAAAAATTAGGGATTGATGGTGAAAACGGGCATAAGAGTCCTTCTAGTAAATTAAATTAAAAATTCCTCCCAAGCCTCTACACAACGATTTTTTTTCTGGGTCTCTTACCTCCCACCTTTAGGCCTGCAGCGCCTACAAGAGTGCATTATCGCCCACTTTAGGAAAGGCTGTTCTAAATCTAATGTAACGATTGTTCGCCCGCAGGCGAATTCTGCTCGCGGCACCACGACGCGGTGGAGGTGTTTAAGGAATGCTGCACTCGCGAGCCGCGCCTCGCTCGCTTCATACGCAAGTGCCAACAGAACCCCATGCTTCGGAAGAAGGTAAGCACTTAACACACAAGCAAGCATGTCGTTTCTTGTCTTTGCACACAAAATATTTTGCTCTAGCGGCTCGACGCTGTAACGTTTTGCATGTGCAGTCTCATAACACACGATGTAAATGCTTCAGTTGACTGCTCGGGACTATTCCCACCTCTCGTTCCCACCACTGCAACTCCTGTGTAGCCAGGATCTACAGCTTGACCGCCACAAAAACCCAACCAATGAAGGTCAAGATTGTCCCGGGGAAAGTTAAACTGTCATTGGACCCGCAACGAAATTAATCAGAAGAACATAGGAGGAGTTCGAAATTAAGGTTCGACTTCCCTCCATTGCAAAGCGGATGACAGGTGACAAACAAAGGTTCAGTTGACTGCTGCCACCCTCCACGACCACTTACTCATATTATAAGTATTGTATTTATCTTGGTGCACCAATTAAATCATTATCATACAGTTCAGTGTCTGAACTTCTACCACCACCGCACAGTCGAGCCACACACAATGTCTTTGCTTCACCATCATCAAACCATTTAGCCTCCATTGCAGGTAAATGGATTTTAGTTATAATCCTACTCTAGCCAGAAGGGGTCTTTGCCTCATCGTCCAACATCATAACAAAATATCAACGATTGCCGGCTTAACTCGCGTTCTAAAATAGATTGTTAGAACTCTAGAATTTATAGATTTTTTTTATGCAAGACAAGACAAGGCAGGTATTTGACCGCAATCGCACCTGATGTTAAGTGAGATGCAGTCTAGGATGGTACATATCTGCCCTGTAAGTGTCTATTCACTCTCGCCTTGAAAAGGCCCGGATTATAGTGTTCAGGAAAGACAGCAGCAGACAGCAAATTCCAGTCCCTAGCTGTTCGCATTATAAAAGAGTAATCGAAACGCTTAGTGCGAGCTGGTGGAAAGCCTGCGTCTGGTTCCCCGGTGATGGAAGGGGGCTGGTGGAATTAGGTCGCTTAGTTTTCATATTATTACATACGCTCCTAATTCTATCTCTATCTCACAGGGCGTGCCAGAATGCGTGCTATTCGTAGCGCAGCGGCTGACGAAATACCCGCTACTGCTCGAACCGCTGCTCAAGACCGCTGGCGACGACGTCCACGAGAGAGAGCTATTGCAAAAAGCGCTTTGTGGAGTCAAGGTACGTTCACAGAATGACTATACTAAACGCGAAGACTCGTGGCAGACGGTGCCATAAGCACAGAATAAGTAATAGTACAGGTACAGAAGGATTACTCCGCAAGACGATTTAAATAAATGCGAGTCTTGCTACGACGCGATACAGTGGAATTCAGCTCGCACAGCACTACGTACCTACAATTTTATTCACCTACAAGTTTTGTCTCTTTCTATCGCGTGCCTCTGAAATCTTCTTACGCTATTAGGGTTGCTGTCTAGTGAAAAAATAAATAATCTACTTATTTATAATGAGGTACGTATGTAGGTAAGTACGCATTCATTATGGAAAACCTTGGGAGAGGCCTTTGTCCAGCAGTGGACGTCATTTGGCTGAAACGAACGAACGCATTCTGAGCAGTAGTCATGGTAGGTTAGGTTCCTATACTATCCTAAGAATTATTGATTACCTATATGGCCAACATACCTTTCAGTATCTTTGGGAAGCGAAAAAAAAGATAAATCCGGTAGATTTCTTTTCGAATTTAAACACCCAAACGCCGCACAATAATATTTCTTTCTCTTTATGTCCATTTTTAAATTATACTTCGATCATAGAATTAGGTACTACAACGCACGCCAGCGTCCTGACGGGCGCGCGCGTGACACTCGACTGATATAATACCCGCCGGCGGGGCGCTTCGCTGTAGGTAACTATCGGATGTACCGCGCGGAGTGAGCCAGGCCTGCCATAAGTCACTTTTGTAATGGAGATGAGCTAGCACAAATTATTTACTACAATATCGATAAAAGGCATTTATCGAAAACACAAGTTGATAATAACTAATGATTTTTTACTGTAATTACATATTTCAGCATTGAGCTGCAACAGTCTAACACTGTAAGAACATGACTTGAAGAAGTGGTCAGCGTCAAATAATCTTAAATAAATTATCGATCTAAATAATAACTTACCGCAAATATACATACACTTATTGGTGAAATTTCTAATACCCAACTTGAGACCTATTGTTATCGATTATCCTATGTGTCGTACGTACACAAACAATGCGCTTTGCTCATCTCTATGTCTCGGTGACGTCAAATATGTGAGAAAGCATATGTTTGCGCTGCCTTCTTTTTCTGTTTTAGTCCTGAATGATTTTTCTGTATTTGCACAACTTGAAACGGTTGAATTATTAACAATTTCTCTTCAATTTTCCACAGGAAATCCTAGTCGACGTGGACAACCAAGTGGCAGCAAAAGAGCGCGAGGACCGCAAACTAGAGATATACCACCGGATCGACGCTAAATCCTTCGCCAACTTCAGGGGACGCAAGTTCAAGAAGAGCGACATACTGCAGGGGAATAGGAGTCTCAAGTATGTTGGTTAATATAAACTTATCAAACCATAGGTGGACAAATGGTGGTGGAGAAAAGCCGCCCCATGGATTTTCCCAACGATCGGTCGTGCGCTTCTCGTATCCAAACCTTACCAAATGTTTATCACTGTAATTAAGATATTTAAAAGCTTCAAGTTCAGTAGACTGGGTAGTTTTTTCGTATAAAATGTGTCAGTGCTTATGATAAACGATGCATGGTTGCTATTTATTTGTTGTTTTACTGTCGACTGCAAATCAGGCCCTTACCAGGCCTATTCATCTCCGCGAGTTTGCATCGAAAACAAAACACGCGCGACTACCCCTCCTGAGGTACCTAATCGACAGGACAATCACGAGCGAGTATTGACGCACGCACGTATTCTTCACCCATTTGCATTGTAAAGACAATAAACAATTTGTAAAAACGATGGTGTAATTAATACTCTGCAGTATTTTTAATTGCCTGAATAATATTAGAAACACAAAATATAATTCAATCTTATTCATGTATTTCCTCCGCCATTTTCCGCAGTTTGGCACCTCATGTCACACATCATTTTACCGAAGTCAGCCCTATGTCTTCGGCGCAGTACCGATCACTGACGTTTGTCAACAAAATGGTGCTCGACTCTTGAGACAAGCTAAATTACACCATATTGTTAACGACATTGAGCATATTTTTTTTTAAATACCTTCGCGAAGAAAATCTTCTGTACGAAGTACTTATTATTATTCTGTGCCCTTACTTCGTAAATAAATTCGTGGCGGATTCAAATTGATTCAATTTCGATAGCATGGCTGGTGTCTTCCGTTTCTCTTGTCCTCACCTTCTTCCTAATCATAGGGATTAATTGGGGCATTCGTATGAAGCGTGGTGGCTATATTGGAGGGCTTTCTGCATTTTTGTTGCAAAATAGCACCTATTACAAGTAGATAAGATTTAATAGTATTTAGCTTCAAGTATTACCGTTCGGGCACGTTTAGGTTTTAACCTAATTTTATTGATTCCAGGTTCGAAGGAGTAGCGACGTTAATGCAAGGCCGTAGCAAGATGCAGACGCTACTCGTCATAGTGTTAACTGATGTGCTTTTCTTCCTACACGACAACAACAACAAATATACGTTCTTCACGCCTGACAATAAGGTACGATTAGTAAGTATAGAATCAATCACTAAAATATTACATAATACCAGATATATTTTTGTAGAAACTGTACCTCTATTACGAAAAACTTTCGAGTTCGTTTCGTTTGCGTATTCAAAGTGCCATCGAAAAATTTTGTATGAAAAATTAAACAGCGCCCCCTATATTATAGCCGCCCTAGGGGGCGCTGTTTAATTTTTCATACAAAATTTTTCGATGGCACTTTGAATACGCAAACGAAACGAACTCGAAAGTTTTTCGTAATAGAGGTACTGATACTTTTTCTATCTCAGATTCTTTCTTATAGTACTTCTGAATGTTATGGTTTAAGAAATAATACCATGTTAAATTCGAGTATATGTATTGATTTCCGAAATTCTCGAACCGGCAGTCCGATGTCTAAACTGCTTGGTTGTACAGTTCAACGTAAATATAATTCCACTAAATTATAATTTATAGTCCAGCAGTGAACGGAGATTCAACAACAATAGACTATTTGACACCATTCCTCAATAATTCGAAATCACAACTTTTTTAGAAGACACTTCATTCTAGCCCTAACTTAAATTTAAATTAGCTGCAAATTAAGATTTTTGGATGAATTGTAATTGAAAAAAGTAGTTGCTTGTATTGCCGTACAAAATCTATGGGAGAGTCTCGTTTTGGCAGTTTTAAAAAGTACGTCAATAAAATTGATTTGTGCTGTCAACACGTCTATTCAACGTTCCTAAAATCCTCGAATCTCGAATCGGGCAGTTCGTGCCGACACCTTAGGGTTTAATATTGACTCATTCCTTATTATTAACCTACTAGCTTTTGCCCGCGGCTTCACCCGCGTGAAATTTAGTTTGTCACAGATCGTCATTAATTATAGCCTATATGTTATTCTGGGTTATAAACAACAATACTGTAAAGTTTCATCAAAATTCGTTCAGTAGATTTTGCGTGAAAGAGTAACAAACATCCACACAAACTTTCGCGTTTATAATATTAGTAGGAAGTAGGATTGATATCAGTGACTTTAAATGGTATCTGACTGTTACAGACCGGTGTGGTATCGCTGGTAAAACTACTAGTGCGGGAGAAAGCTGGTGCCGAAGGCCGAGGACTCTACCTCATCTGCAGCGGGCCGGCCGAACCAGAGATGTTTGAACTGCGCGTGCACCGGCCCAAGGACATTAGCGCTTGGATCACGCACATAAGGTACACAATAGCTTGGCACGCTTTAGTCATCTGCAGCGGGCCGGCTGAACCAGAGATGTTTGAACTGCGCGTGCACCGGCCCAAGGACATTAGCGCTTGGATCACGCACATAAGGTACACAATAGCTTGGCACGCTTTAGTCATCTGCAGCGGGCCGGCTGAACCAGAGATGTTTGAACTGCGCGTGCACCGGCCCAAGGACATTAGCGCTTGGATCACGCACATAAGGTACACAATAGCGTGGCACGCTCTAGTCATCTGTAGCGGGCCGGCCGAGCTCAGAGATGTTTGAACTGCGCGTGCACCGGCCGAAGGACATTAGCGCTTGGATCACGCACATAAGGTACACAATAGCTTGGCACGCTTTAGTCATCTGCAGCGGGGCAACCGAGCCTGAGATGTTTGAACTACGCGTGCACCGGCCCAAGGACATTAGTGCTTCGATCACGCACATAAGGTACACAATAGCTTGGCACAGTCTAGTAGAAGATAAATAGCAACGTCTATGCTAAGCGGTATTCGTGGGAGCTGTGCGTGCACCGGCCAAAGGACATTAGCGCTTGGATCACGCACATAAGGTACACAATAGCGTGGCACACCCTAGTCACCTGCAGCCGCCGTATGCACCGGTCCAAGGATATTAGTGCTTGGATCACGCACGTAAGGTACACAATAGCGAAGCATATCTAAGAAAAAGGCCTACTTAAACTACGCCATCCGGCTCGTGGTCGCCATTCGAGCACTTTTCTGTACCATCAGCTACAACTGAAAGAAAAGACCTGAATTTGTCACTGAGTTTGACTAATTCCTATACTATTTGTATTATACAACAGATAAAGTTACAGTTTTTTTGAAATGCGAAAACTGATTTCTGAGTTTCCCATGATGCATCAGCGCTTGCCTAGTATTTGTCTCGGAGCACTTGTATGGTAACGATTATGGGGAATGGATTAAGGAGCAAATGTCCTTGAGTGTCTCCTATAAAGTTCTTTAAATTAATCTTTTGAAGTAAACCGAACTAAAACTGATGCTAATAAATCTTAGTTGGCGCTTAATATACTCAGACTCTTCAACCTCACGACTGATAGGGTATATTTAAGGCTGTATAAAATTAACCAAGTTATTGTCCCTCAGAGCCGCCGTACAGAACTGTCCGGAAGAAGAGAAGGAACCGGATGCGCATTCGCTCGCGCCATCTGCCGACGAGCGACAGAGACAACTGGAAGCGAGGCAGGAGAATATTATGCTCATCACAGGTAAGCACTGTTATTCATCGCCATCTTACATGCATTTCTTATTAGGCTAGGCGCAGACCATTGATTTTTCGTCAGCCGATAGTTTAGTCGGGCATTTGATCAGTATGGACATGTAGGAAGTGCGCAAATAGACATGTTGATACCACAGTCAACTGACGTACTTTTTAAAACTGTCAAAACGAAACTCTCCCATAGATTTTGTATGGCACTACAAGCAAGTGACGTCACTATTTTGTCAACCCAATTAAACTACTTTTTTTCAATTACAATAGAATAGAATAATCTTTATTGCCAAAAACTGTGTACAATTTGTGCTGGTCACAATGCAAAAAAAATAGTTACAACAGTGTTACCCATATCGGGCATGCAATAGTTAAAATACAGTAATAAAGTTAGAGTTTAATTATTTTTGGTACTAAAATATTCATTTAGACTATAAAAAACATTAATTGTTAACCATTTTTTAAGCTCAGATTTAAATTTAGGTTGCTTCAATGCTTTAATATGTGAAGGTAGATGGTTAAATATTTTAGTACCTGTATAGAGCACACTTTTAGAGAAAATATAACTATTAACTGAAGGAATACAAATATCATTTATATATTTACTACGTAAGTTAGAACGAATGGAAGATTTACATTGAAACCACTCGGTATTCTGTTTTATGAAAACTGTAATTTCTAGAATATAGATATTCGTCAGCGTTAAGTATCCTTTATCCTTAAATACACTTCTAAGTGTTTCATCAGAATACATGTTATAAATAATACGCAAGCATCTCTTTTGTAGGATAAATGTTGACTGAATATTAGTCGAATTTCCCCAAAAAACAACACCATAAGTCAGCAATTCGAACAAAAATCGAAATTTACAGGTAATTTAAAATAAATTAGGTTTTTAAGACCAGAATGAAGAGTCTTTTTAAAACAGTTGTGGTTTCGAATTATTGGGGTATGGTGTCAAACTGTCTATTACACCGATTTGATTTGGCCGATTCTTCATACAATTTAAAATCGGGCACAACTATCGGCCAACTAAAGATCGGTGGTCTGCGCCTAGTTTTAAGGCCCCTTGTCCACGGCGACTTTTTGTAGTGATGCTGTCGCTCTGTAACGCGCGTTAGTCGCATTTGCAACGCGCTACAGAAGCGATGCCAACGCGCTACTAACACGTTACAGCATCGCGACTGTATCGATGCCAACGCGTGAGCGTGTCGGATTAATTTTGTGCCGTTACTGAATTATCTTTGCATCGCGACAAAAACACGACAGTATCGTGTTTGCATCACGACTGAATCGTGTTTATGTAGGGCACGCATGTAGCGACTGTATCGATGCGAACGGGCGACAAAATCGCTACTGCATCACTACAAAAAGTCGCCGTGGGCGAGAGACCTAAGATACCTATAGTCAAAAGACATTAGTAATTAAAATCGACTATTATGAATAAAAAAATGTAGAAAACAAAATATGACTGTTGTGTGAATTCTTGCCTAAAGATAAGTTTATAATTATCTAGGCAAATGAACACGTATACATTATTTAAAATTATTGTTTTAGAAGACCAACTGTGACAGCGTTACTGGTAGAATTAGAATAAGCAGAAACGAATAGACTGACGCACAAGACATGATACAAGAAATTAACATAATTAATATTTAATATAATATAAAAAAAACTTCAGCAATGTGAAAACGTCACATGTATAATATACAAAAGGTTTGTCTGAAGTTAATGAAATATACCTTGGATTTTTCTTTGGATTTGCAAGAGCATGACTTCAATTTTATACTCTGATATACTTCACAAATATTTCAAGATAATTTATTTGGTTTGCGGCTGAATACTGAGACGCTTTTGTAAATACTTATTTCGCTTGTCATCGTCACGTTAAGGTTATTTTGGTAGCATAACGTATCAGCTGCAGCCTTGCAACCCTTTCATTGCTATTTATCAAAATAAACGTATTTTCAGTAATGACACATGCCAAAAAATACCGATTGGACGATTTAACACATTCATAGTCCACAAATGGTACACAAAATTGTCTACAACAACCTTGTTGTGCAATGTTGTGAGGCAGAGTACACAGGTACTAAATACCTATTTAATACCTGTGTACTCTGCCTCACAACATTTCACCTTATATTTTCACGAAAAGATTCGGCGTTGAGTGATATTCGTATTAAATCGGATTATTATTATTATTCTGTCTAATAGCTTCAATGGTGCGAATGATGTTTTTGTATTTTTTACACTTTTCAACTATCACTTTACATTCGTAACGATGGCAAGTGACGTAAGAAGCTTCAAAACTAAAATAGACTCGAGTATTCCACCGTTATTCAAATAACAATGAACATTTTATATCGTTGGACAGATGAAACACCGTGGTGGCAAATAGAAGGTGATTACTACCGTTATGCATGAAAGCATGTTGTATTCAATGTGAATCCTTTTTATTTGTCGATGTTATGATGGTTTGATAGCCTCGTAAAATGCTGCGACGTTGCAATGGTGCAAATATCGTTTGTTTAGTGGCCTCTACTTTGGTTGAGTATAATATCACAGAATAATAATATAATATCCAGATTTTGCATTATTCCATGCAGTCGTTTTAACCCCTAATGGTGCAGTGGGAATATTGTTCCCACATTCTTTTCACTAAGTATGTTCTTGTCTACAGACGACAGCAAATTAGACTATACATTTTGTTGCGAATTCGTCTCTATCACAATTGAATAACATTTCGTCTCTACAAAACGAAAAATAACTTGTAACGCTCAAAACTCAATGTAATAGTAATCATTTCTATAAAAGATTTTGAATATTCGTCATAAATATTTACTATAAAATCTACATAGAAGTGGCACCATTGTAACACAGCAGTTACCCAAGCACCGGTCACAATATTATTATATTTAAATTTATTTCAGCGACCTTATTTTCTACAATGTTATCCTAATTTGATGAATGTATTAATTTAATTTGAAATGCAACAGTTATTTATTAATTTATCGTCTCAAATGATTGTCATAGATTCCTTGATTGTTAGAATTTGTGTGTGTATTATTAGAAAATGTTTAGGATAATTTGACCAAATATGATATTTCAAATGAATGGAAATTGACTAAAATTCGCATGCCAAATTATTTAATGTTATAATACACATCGGAAAACTTATCGAATGTTCTTTAGTTAGAATTTCAAGATATTTTACATGAAAATTGCTCATATTATAACATAATTACATGCGAGGTAATGTTATTTAACCAGATATTCAGTAAATTCAATTTTAATGAGCTGTTGTAAGAACTATTGTAATCAAAAAGTATTTTTTCGTATCCACATTATTATGGAATATAATATTATTTATTATCCGCTACAGACTGGTATCACATAATATTAATACGTCTATTTCACATCAACAGAAGCGTTAAGAGCTAAGGACAGAGAACACGCGACACTGCTAGAAGAGAAAATGGCGTTACACATGAAAATGGTCGCGCACACAGGAAACTACGCTCTCGACGTGCCAAATACAGGTTTGTTATTTAATTTATTTCTTCTTTATTTGCTTTTTGGTCTTTACCAGCAATGAAGTTGTGAAATCAACCAAAAATCTTTAAAATATGGTCTAATTCGCAAATCACACGTCAAATGAGAATTTTAAAATAATACAATCATTTGTTTCCGGTTTAAATATTTTATGTCTCAAGATTTAGGGCTGATTTTTCAATAACTTTTAACTGAAGACATAGACAGACAGGCACATTGACAGTTTCAGTATGAGAAATATGTCAAAATAACAAGTTTATTCTTTACTTAACAGATATCTGACGGTTGAAAAATAAGCCCTTTGTAAACTATTTTGGAACTGACTCAAGTGCCTTATATCGAAAATTATGAGCACATTAATACACAGTCACACAATTTTTTTTTATTACAAAGTCATACCTATTACAACTAATTGAAGTGCTAGTGTTTCCCTGATGTGTTAGAGTACTAAAAATGCAAGCATTTTGATAAATGCTCTGTCTGATAAGAGTTTTAGATCTATATGGAATCATTTTACAAACATTCATGTATCATCATTTATCTCAAAATCAGACGAGTGACAACAAAATGCATTTATGATAAAAATAAATTCTCTACTTTGTAGCACTTGACAAGATTTCAATGATGGATGGATATTTGTTTTTATCTTTCTAAGTAAAGACATGTGTTCTTTACAAGTACATATATTTAAAACGATTGTTTTTGATAAGACGAATAAAATCTATTGTAGTACGATTCAAATTTTCAACACGTCTTGTTATATTGTATTTGGGAAGTCATCAAAATTAGTTATCGTTTACGTTCTCAAGTAATATAAAAAAGTGACAATACAGTGTGTTTAGTATTAGAAACAGTATCATATCAGATGCAGAATGCCTTCGACCAGAGATACAGAAAAAAGTAATAAGAGTACATAATGTAACTCACTCATAAATGTCGCGTTAAGACCCGTGTTTTTCTATTTTAGTTGAAATAGAACCCGAAAGTATCTATTTTTTTTAACAATATAATTTGTTATTGCACAAATTACTAATAATCCCGTTAGCCCCTCGTATTAAGCTAAATATGCTTATATTACGAGTGAGCTCACCACAATAGTCGAGCGGCGGCGGGGACCGAACCCGCGTTCCCCGGATCAAGGATCGGCCAGTCCGACCCCTTCACCGTTCGGCTATCGTAGCTTTATGCAAATAAACAAACAAAGAAAAGAAAAACGTTACATTCCCTATAATATGGTCGAGTGAAGCGATGGCTGGTTCACACGTCATGTCTGTGAACAGGCGCTGCCTTCGGGGACTGGTCAAGGAAAGATATACCTGACATAAAATATATGTATCAAAACGCAACAATTAACCTAGAAATTAGCACGGCACTAAAGAAATATAATATTCAAAACTGCCACGCGGTCTCGTGCTAGATGGGCGTCTTAAAGGCCACCTTCTATCAACGGGAGCGCGTGGTAAGTAACTTGCTTCTGAATGTATGTAACTTCCTACTTTTTATATTTTTTTATATTTTTAAACCGGCAGACAGCACAGTGTGTTATGGGACTGTATAAACGGACATTCTCATTGATTTGATGAAACGTATAGAGCTCAGTTATACAAACATGATAGTAAAACTCCCGTTTGAAAATTCCACGTAGTTTTCGCGGTATAAAAATTGAAAGTTACCTATTTTTTACTTCAAAATTATGCAAAAATGTTATGACTCGTTAACTAATAACATTTAATTCAGAATTGTTATAATACTTCATAGAGCTCTTAAAACTACACGTAATAAGCGTATTAAGTGCTTCGTAAACGCATTCAGTTAATTAGGAAAAATGATTTTAGTGATTTTTGTTTTTATTTTTTTTCTCAATTATACCTTAATATATGCAAACATTTTTAATTGCAAGATATAGTCTGATATTTAATCTAATAGTATTAATAAAATCAGCTTTAAACTCCGTGATATATTTGAGAAAAAACATAAAACGTCTTAATAAAATTTTTACGAGTCTAGGGTCGACAATTTTGGAAGGAATAATTCATGTCTAAAAAGTTTCTAATCCCGCCTGTTATGTGCATAGTGTTGAAGGTTCTAAAAAGTCACATTCACATTGTTTTTAACCGACTTCAAAAAAAGGAGGAGGTTCTCAAGTCGAGTCTTTTTTCTTTTTTAACACTCTTACATTAACTTAAGTTGTATGTAAGTAACTAACTAAAAAAGTATGTAAACAAATCTAGGAAGTCGAATTTATCCTACCTGTAATAATTTTCTCATCGATTTGAAACCTCTGTAAATCGAATGTCAATACAATAATTTGGTANATACAATTAGATTAAATATCAGACTATATCTTGCAATTGAAAATGTTTGCATATATTAAGGTATAATTGAGAAAAAAAATAAAAACAAAAATCACTAAAATCATTTTTCCTAATTAACTGAATGCGTTTACGAAGCACTTAATACGCTTATTACGTGTAGTTTTAAGAGCTCTATGAAGTATTATAACAATTCTAAATTAAATGTTATTAGTTAACGAGTGAGAATATTTTTGCATAATTTTGAAGTAAAAAAATAGGTAACTTTGAATTTTTATACCGCGAAAACTACGTGGAATTTTCAAACGGGAGTTTTACTATCATGTTTGTAAAACTGAGCTCTATACGTTTCATCAAATCAATGAGAATGTCCGTTTATACAGTCCCATAACACACTGTGGACAGTGGTGACTGAGTTTGTTGCTGCGCTTCTTCTCAGCACTTGCCAAATGTTTGTCTCGAAGCGCTGGTAGGGCAAAAAAAGAATGAGACATGTATAGGCTCCTTAAGAGCATTTGACGATTTGCAAGAACTAATTTAATTAGTCTAAACAAATAAAGATAATTTTGATTTTGATTTGTAAAGAAAAAAATAATAAAGGAAAGAGAAAAAAAATGAAAGAAAAAAAGAAAAGAAAACAAAAAAAAACATTTACAGTTTGATTTACAAACTTTCGTTTCCTACAGGAGTAACCACAGTGTTCCCGGGTGGTTTGGTGTTCCCGGAATACGTGCGTCTAGCCGCGCCCTCGCCTGACACGCATGCGCTGTGGCAACAAGTCTGCCAGGTCGTCAAGGTATGATTCTTTTTATTTCTTTTATAATGGAAGAAACCTTTTTTTAGGCACTAGTCGCAACAGGTCAGATGGGCTACTCCGTAAGGCTGTTTACGTAGTTTCGGGGCGATCTGTCACTGTTGCTCATGCTGGCATTTCGCTTTGCGAGAGAGGGATGGCAACATTCGAAGCTTCGAATAACGTTTTTGGGAGTAACCCCACTGATTCGAATCCGTGAAAGTAGGTTCCGGAGTGGTCGTAGAACTTTGTGTGTTATCTTGTTACGCAATTGGAACCGATATCCGTCATCCGATTTTTCTAATCACGGATTTCGATTGGATCCGGGTGAAAGGTAGTGTGAAACCGTTCTAAGTATGATATTTTGAACGCGTTCCATTAAACCGGATTCAGATTTCTCTGACGTGTTATGCCATGACGCTTTGGAACGGAATTGGTTTTATACACTTGTGTATTGTGTCGTGTCGTGATGGCTTCTGAAGTGTCACGAAGAAGAAGAAGTGTTTTTAACTAGCGTGAAGCATTTTAGAGACGTTCCGAATAGTGTCTGTCTTTTTATTCTTATCTCTTAACTAGCGGCCGCCCGCGACTTCGTACGCGTGGACCTTATTTTGCTTAGTTTGGGACTAGAAGCGCAGTGTAAAATGTCTAAGGATATTTATTTATTTATTTATTTATTTATTTATATAACTTCCAACCCTCCTTTTACCTCCTTAGCCCCCGTGGTTGATTTCTAATGATACATTTTCAGGATATGTACCACCTCCACCACCACCATTTCAGCCATAGGACGTCCACTGCTGAACATAGGCCTCCCCCAATGCTTTCCATGTTGATCGATTGGAAGCGGCCTGCGTCCAGCGCTTCCCTGCTACCTTTACGATGTCGTCGGTCCACCTTGTAGGTGGAAGTCCCACGCTACGTTTTCCGGTACGCGGCCTCCATTCCAGAACCATTCTGTCCCATCGGCCATCAGTTCTGCGTACTATGTGCCCTGCCCATTGCCACTTCAGCTTGCTAATCCGTTGGGCTATGTCAGCGACTTTGGTTCGTTTACGGATCTCCACATTTCTGATTCGATCTCGCAAAGAAACACCAAGCATAGCCCTCTCCATAGCACGCTGTGCAACTGAGCTTCTGTATAAGGCCTATAGTGAGAGGCCACGTTTCCGAGCCATAAGTTATCACTGGTAACACACATTGGTTATACACTCTAGTCTTCAGGCATTGAGGTATTTTGGACATTTTTAGTATTTCTTTATTGGAATAAGTTTAAAATTTATATTTTAAGAAATGGGTATCAGAATAGATATAGCACAACTTGTTTTTAACTCTTAACTCAATCTACTGCATTTATCTTCCTTAGTTGTGTAAAAACGTTATAATGATATAATATTCATGGGTATGTTTGCTTGCGAAGGTACACTAAAATGGGTCGAATTAAAAAAAAGCAAACCACAGAAGAAAACTTAGAGAAAACAATATTTATAATAATTTCCTTGGCTACCAAAAATTCATGACCTCATAACTTTGTTTCTAAAACGAATTATGACACCCCTTTTAGATACATTGGCTTAGTTTTTGCTTCTTAATGCAATGGGAAAATAAAAGTAGTTAAAAACAAAAAAAAATTTCGTGCCAAGGAAATTAGGCAAAATCGACCATTTTTGGCGAAATACCCAGGTACGACTGTACTCAGTGTTGCACTATCAAATGCAATTGAAGCGCCTCTATGCCAGGGTTTTTATGTTCCTGGTCAGGCTATACAGTGTGACCGGCAGGGAATATAAGTAAAACAAATAATGTCC